CTCATTTAAGTTAATGCATTTTTCACATAGTGTGAAGAATTTTTTCTAAAGTTATTTCTTTGGTGGTGTTTTAAACTAAAGTATGCATTAATGAAGACTTCGATCTTCCCTAAGGGGGGCAAGTGTCACGAATATGACTTCGGGTATAAAAACATAGTTATCAACCAGTCCTTATAGACACTCTCTCCTTACTGCCACAACGACAGAAGGTTGGTATTGCTGGTTTCTTTTATGGTCTCCACCCAAGTTGAGAAATTGATCAACACATATGCACTTAGACTGGAAGGGCACTAAAAAAAGAAATCATAAATTGTCAATAAGTAAGCATACTTAACATAGTGATGAGAAACTCATATTGTTGGCTTGCACTTATTAGTATTGGGAACCCCCACGATATTGAGATTAGTCCCTCAATATTCGCTAAATACCTTGTGTATCAAACACCCTTGCTATCATGCCGTTTATGTTAGTCTCACTTTGGTCTTAAATACTATTTATGAAAAGTATCTAAATTTGCTTATTTGGCATGTCTATAGAATGTAAAGATTGTCTTAAACACAATGGTGTTCGTCCTATGTCTAAATTCACAATCTAGAGACATTCTATATTTATTAAATTTCAAACTTGTCCCAGATACTAACTCCTAGTACTAAGGGAAACTTAGGGTGGAAGCCCAAAGTGTGTGTTCCTCGGGGGGGGGGGGGGCGGCGAGGTGGGGGGAGGTAGGGGGTTTTGAATATATAGTATGAATAGTGGGTAGGTCAGGTATGGCTGACCAACTTGAAGTATAGTAGGGATAGTAAGGTCTAATAACCAATTTTATAGGAACCTTTCAACAGTGCACCTGAACTAACTTGAGGTTGAAATTAAAGCTTAAGGGCTTAGATAAAAGTGAGCATGGACTCAAGTGGTGCAAAAGGGGCCACCCAAGGAAATGCTTAAGAGCAACTCCCACTCCCAACAAAGAAACCGACTATGGTACTTTTGGCTTATGTGAAGTGGTGTCTTAGTTGAGTATTCTGCAACTCATTGGTCCTCGCCCTTTCTAAAGGCTTGGGCCTTCTCTTCCGAATGGAAGTGGGGGGTACCCATACTAGGCCGTTAGGCCATAATGTTTCCTTTGGTGTCCCGAAGCAAGTGTTGCATCTAAAGCTTAGGATTTAAAGGGTTTTATGACCAAGTTTTGTTGTACCAAGGGATGTTAAGAACTTAGAGGCTTAATGTGTTTAATTATTTGTGCCTACGGGGAGTGTAGCCAAACTTTAAATTCAATATAATCCAGAGAGGAGGATTGGAAGAAAATTTAGAAATCCGTGGATAGATAGCTAATGCTCTATTGTTTATGCAATGAGTTGCTAAAACCAAATAAAACCAAGTAGAAGCTAGCACAATAAAATAGAACTTTGGCGAGAGAACTTAATTAATGCCAAGGCCGTGGTGATTGAATAAATAAAGTAAGTTAACAAATTGAAAAGGAAAAATTTATAGCTTACACTAGTACCACTTATAAATCCTTCAATGCCTCTTCTTAATATTCCTTTAGATCCCAGCCCATCAACTAAAAAACTCTTAGTGCTTTCCATCCTTTTGAGAGGAAGGGATGATATGAACTCTAAATATATAGTTATGATGTTATATATTAATATTAACATAGTGGGATTTTAATAGCCGTTAGATTGGTTTCAATCTAGACCACTCACTCTTGTATATAAATTATAGTTTTTGGGCTAATTGATATGTATATTTCTATATTCCATTTCCATATTCCATGCACTCATAGTTTTAATTTTGCATAACCATGTAATGCATGGAAAAGAAATCAAGTATAAATTTTTTATGTTTTGTATACCAATCTAGTTTTGACATAATTTTCTAGTAAAACAGTGGTAAAATAAATTATTATAAGTAAATTTATTTAAAATGGAATGTTAATATTCTTTTATCCTAAAGTTTATTGCATTGATGCCACCATATTGAAAAGTTAATATTCTATAGTGGCTTGAAATCACTAAAATCAATTATTTAGATTACTTTGTTAATATTTTTACTTCCATTTCAACTTGATAAAAAATTCTTGCTGAATTTATTATATTTAACTAATGTTTTTAAAAAATTCATTAAATTTGTTTTAACTTATTAAATAAAATTTGTTTTCTATAATTTTTTTGGCAATTGACAGATTACATTTTAAAATACCTTCTTATTAGTGGGTCCAACAATTAACATACATTTAGATCAAGCTATACCCCACATAAATGAGCTTATCAAATTAATTAATAATTAATCAACCAATAGAGCATATTCTTAGATGCGGTGTTTAGTGAAGAACATCCACAGCAATTAGGTAAAACCCGTTTTATACCCTTAAGAAAGCGCACCCTAGTTGTTCTTGTGAATCAATCCAATGGAGAGTGAAAGGAATGGAGCTGCTCCTGCCGTAGCAACTGCCGGATCTGGCGCAATTGAATGATCTGTGAGATTGAGGGTTTCCCGATCGGGGCAAAATGCCGCAGCCAGACGCGCTCGACGCGCTGGACCTAGTCGAGCAGGGTTTAGGTGCCAGGAATTCGCCGCTGGAGCAGCAGTCGGCCCATCATCACCAGCAGCATTCGTCCAAGAGCGTCAAGATCGATAGGTTCCTGTGGTTGCGCCGGATCTTCCTCCTGGCTCTCATTTTCACCGCCTCCTTGTCAATGTTGGTGGCCCTCTTGTTCTCGCTAGCCCGAGTCAACAGCACCAGCCTTGGTCGTGGCGGCGGCGGCGGCTGGGAATTCATCGAAATCTCGCGAGAGCAGCAGCAGCAGCTCTTGAATCTCAGATTCCCCAGGAACATCGACGAGCTGCGATCGCTCCGGGAGGCCTTGGGGAATTACCAGCAGCAGCACCGCCAACTTATCAAGCTCGGCATCATTTGCCTCTACTTGTTCCTCCAGGCATTCATGCTCCCCGGCTCCATCTTCCTCAACATTCTCGCTGGATCGTTTTATAGTTTCTTCGAAGCTCTGTTCCTTGTCACGGTAAAGGATCGATCAAAACCGTTTTTTTTTTCTTGGACCTTGACGAGTGAGATGTTTCCAGGTTTTGGCGACTCTAGGATCTTCGCTGTGCTACATGCTGTCGCGCTTTATTCTCAAGGACATTGTTTACTACTACTTCCCGGAACGTTGCGATCGCCTCGCCAAGGAGGTCCACTCTCACCGCCACAACTTACTGAATTACGTGCTTTTTCTCCGGATCACCCCGCTGCTTCCAAACTGGTTCATCAATGTCGCGTCTCCGCTGGCTGCTGTGCCTTTCAGGTGATTTGATCTGGAGAACTTTGGAGGAGCTCTCTCTGATAGTATGATCATTGTGGTGGCAGGGAGTTTTTTCTTGGGACCTTTGTCGGTGTCATCCCGGCGGGCGTGGTGGCTGTCAAGGCGGGCAGAATTTTGTCGCAGCTCAATTCCCTCAACGATCTCTACGACTCGCGCACCCTGGCTGCGCTCTTCTTTCTCGCTTTTCTCGTCATCCTCCCCGTGGTTTTCAAGCGCAGGGAGCTCCGAAACGCCGCCAAGGCAACTTAATTCTTTCTCTACACTGACACTATACATCTATCGATCGCACTGTTCTTAGTAGGAAGAACGCGACGTGGATATGAGCGAGACACTAAACTACACTTCCCAAGCGAGTAACGTTTTTCCTTTTCTCTTTTCTCGTACTAACGCAGCTCGTTCAATCTGTGTTGGTAAGTTTGATCTTACGACAGAGATTCGTGTTTACGCGACTTGACCTTGATACAGGATCCTATACTTTCGCATCCAGAAATTTTCGATATGCTGTGACGAGTAGCAGCTCCACAGGACAGGCCTGTGGAACTCAGTGTTCATGGCGATTTGAAGCCATCGCGTGCCATGGTTACAAGCGAAGAGCAGAGTTGCAATCCGCTGTGATCATTCCGTCCCAGGAAATAAAGTCTGTTGCCACGGAACTTCGCGCGCATAGTTTTCTTGTCACATTGTACGTGACGCGAGCTATTAGAATGTCATAGGCAGCAGTGCAGGAAACGAGGTCCCCTTTCCTATAGCATGATGGTTCCAGTATTATCGTCCTTGCCTCACTCAAGTCCTTTGACTTGACGGGCGTATGCTGACAAGAGCACAGACCAGGAAACAAGATCCGTTTCTGTGAACAAGTCGAAGCTCTCCTTCGCTGCTTCTGGAGGTCATTTCTGTCTGTAAACCGCAAGAATGTATTCCATGAACAAGACTGTCCTGGGGCATCGAATCAAACGGCCTCAACAAGATGCCTTGTGCTCGAAGAAGAATGTTCAAAGAAACGACGCTCGACTGTGGCATCGCGCGAAAAGAATTCCCGTGCCTGGTCGAGCTGATGTTCCAGGAGAAGACGTGGCGTCGCATACATCTGTGGATGAGAACATTCTGGACGAATCTTCCCGATCGACAGATGCTCGGGAGTTGCCGATGAATGTCACCCTGCTGCCGTGATGGAGCTGCGGTAGCTTGCCCAGCGCATCTTCCACATCCTCTATCGATTGGGCATCCAACCCCAGGAGCAGGAGAAGAAATCGTTTTGAAGGCCTGCGTACATTTCCATGCAAGGAACCAGAGCTAAAAAGAATGTCTTGCAGGCTTGCCCTCTTCTCTTCTTCGTGAGTATATTGTGCTGTGACTGGCGGGAGAATAAGACGGAGAATAAGATCGACAAGGAGGCAGGCAAACCCTCGCAAAATGGAGAAGGGAAGAGGCAAGGCCGATGGAAGTACTAGGTGCTTGTACAAGGTATTGAGGGATTCATTGCTGCTTGCGACTGCTTGTGATCGTTTGTGGGTAGATCCTCGGAGTGGAATACGTAGCATCGACCAAGGAGATCAGAAAGGCATACATTAAGCACACACTGGAGCTGCATCCCAACAAGAATCCGGAAGACAAGGTTTAGATTCTCATCTAGCATTTCTTTTTGAAACTGAGCTCTTGTTTCCCTCGCAGGACACCATGAAGAAGTTACATGACGCTTTTGTGATCTTGGGAGATCCTCAGAAGAGAGCACTCTATGATGGAATGGGTTGTGTTGTAAGTTCTTTTTTATTCTTTTGTTTCTTTTCTCTCTTTGGTTATTCATCCTTGTTTTTTTTTCCCTAGGAATCAGGAGATTGTCGCGCATCACCGTATGACTGTTGTAGGAGAAGAAATGAGGTAAGTGATAGCTTTATAATCATCATACTTCTTACAATAATTTTTTTTTATAGCATGTTACTCTCGACAACATCGAAAGTTTTTGTGAGCACCATAGAGGTTCAGAGGCCGAGGTTAAAGATCTCAAAGGTCTCTATATGAAACATGGAGGCAATATGGACAAGTAAGTGAACAATTTCCATGCATACTTCAAATGTTTTGATGCAGAGTGTTTGCTAACCTCATGTGCTCGGAGCCAAGGGAGGATTCTCATCGTTTTATGGAAGTGCTATAATCATACATTTAATCCTAAAGCTTACTTCCTTCGTTTAAATTAGGCGCAAAGTAATATCGGACTTGGGCAAATCAATTCCAGTAAACTTAGATTGAAGCCTTTATAGCAAGTGCCTCGATATTTGTTTAAAGATGTAATACATTTTTAGGTGTGATAGTTTTTCAATGTTGACGAGCTTTCGTAACTTCAAAGACATCACCCTTGTATCAACGAAGTGATTGTCAAACTTGACGGTGTCTTGTCTCTGCGCGTTGCCTTTGAGAGGGCAGTGTGCTCGAGGCTGCGAAGGAGAGCCTGGTCGATGCTGTGATCTGGTTGTCTCTGTTGGCCAGGGGTCGCAGTCACGCTGTCTCGACGACCAATACGAACTTCCATCCAGTTTAATTCCTACCAATACGAACTTCCATCCAGTCTAATTCCTGCCACACAGGCAACCTTCTCGTCAATGACTTCGAAGCCACGAGGTTGGGATTGGGGTTCAAAGTAGATGGAAGCATCACATCCCTGCAAACATTCGTCTTGTCAAAACATGGAACAGAGGAACAAGACGCTGGGAACCAGTCAAAGACGCTAGAAAAGAATGGGAAAAACTTACCAGAACGAAACAATCGTAGAGAACGTTTGAAGCTGTACAGCCTGCTGCAAAACATTTTTCACTATGGACTCGGCAGCCACGTTGTAGAAGCCGGGCCGCAACACAGTATTTCCCTCAGAAGTCGCACCAGTGCGGGATGGGAATGGCAAACCCCCTGGGAATGGAAAGCCTATAGACTGGATCAAAACGGCTATAAAACTTAGGCAGTTCTGGGTTGATGCTCTAGAATTCTCAGGCCCAGTGGACGAGGACCAGTCTTGTTGTCAAGTCATGCACGCTCTCCATGTACTCACCAGAAACTCGAAGATCGACCTCCACAATTCTTCGTTGCTTCGCCACAGCATGCAGTTGCTGTCCCGACATATCCCGGATCAAAACGGCTATAAGACTTATGCAGTTCTAGGTTGCAGAGGACCAGTCTTGTTGTCAAGTCATGCACGCTCTCCATGTACTCACCAGAAACTCGAAGATCGACCTCCACAATGCTTCGTTGCTTCGCCTGCTGTCCCGACATATCCCGGATCAAAACGGCTGCTTCTTCTCCGCCAGCTTGCGGAGCTCCTCCCCGCCGGCCTGTCCACCTTCGCAGGCGTCCAGCTCGGGACTTCCATACGTCATCGCCAGCTCCTCAAACCCGGAAAAAATGGAAGCACGCGCTGAGAATATTAGAATCTTTTATGGATATTCTCGTCAACTAAATAAAGGACAAATAACACGGAATGCTATAATGTCTTCTCTCCTAAACTAAATAAAGGACAAATAACACGGAATGCTATAATGTCTTCTCTCCTAAACAAACGAAAGACCTAAGAAATCCAAGTCAACCAGCTGGGTTGATGGGTCTTAGCTAAAATCTCCATAGGGATTAGGCCACCTTCCAATATTAGAATTCTGTAAGGCATTCTTGCAAATCATTGATTCAACGTTTCAATTCAGCTATTTTACACCAGATTCCTACACCCCTTTTGTGCAAACTCCAACCGTGCTCAAGTATCGAGCAATGAAAGTGCAGCACTGCTTGGCAATGATATTAAGGTCGATGGTTTGAAATAGACTGAACTTTTATTTAGGATCAGATTGCTGAATTCAGGAGTAAAATATCATCCCAATTTAATAGCATCAAACAAAAAGCTTCCACTCACGAACAACAAGTGTTTCGATGAAGGCTAAACACTTGTCAACGTTCACAAATGTCTACAATGTCACATGTTCATTTCCTAGGTTGGCTCCTTCAGTGTTGGTAACACTGTGGTATAAGATGGACGGGACCATTAAAAACTCTTATTTGCACAGGGTGGATGTCAAGGGATTTCTCGTCTGCGGACATAATGATGATCACCATGTCAACACTAGTTGCAGTGACGAAGCACACTCCCTTTCTCAGACAAACAATTGACACGTAGTCCAATGTTACCCGCTCGAAGCCTAAGTCCAAAACTTTCTTTACAGCGTCGGCTTCTTCCATAGTCATACGCTCGACAAAATCCTTGAACCCCCACCTCATGTCTGCAATGTACGAGTCCCTTCTCCTTCTGTAAAGTGCTGGCTCAGGTGTACCTTTGGCAACAAACCTGGCCAGTTGTCATGGTATGAGACCAGTGTAAAATAGGAGATCGTTGACGTCTAGTTCCTTGAAGTTATAGCCGGCTAAGCCAGGAAGTGAACTCTTCGTTGTCAAATGGCTCATTGAATGGAGGAAAAAGACCAATATCCGTTGCTATGAACTCACCCTTATACGTCGTGCACCAGACAGCTCTACATCTGTTGACAATCCAGCTCAGATATTCTCTCGCAACTTGACGATCCTCTTCATTGTATACTGATTGACATCGACGTCCAGAGCATTTCCGTCTTGCAAAACTCTTCGATCTTTCCCATGGTGTCACATTCCAGAATTTCCAATTGCTTCCAAAACATACGTCAGCTTCGCCGCCGACTGAACCAGCTCTGACAAAAGAATATAAACGATCACTGCATTCTCGCTCGTAAGTGTAGAGATAGCTCGCCAGGGCATGTTCTCCACAATTCTTCGTTGCTTCGCCACAGCATGCAGTTGCTGTCCCGACATATCCCGGATCAAAACGGCTATAAGACTTAGGCAGTTCTAGGTTGCAGAGGACCAGTCTTGTTGTCAAGTCATGCACGCTCTCCATGTACTCACCAGAAACTCGAAGATCGACCTCCACAATGCTTCGTTGCTTCGCCAAAACATACGACTTGCCTCTACCCGGATGTCCTTGGAAGTGGATATCACTTTGAACCTTGACTTCTTTGAGTAGAGACCGGAGCTTTGGACGGCCAACGTAAGTAAAGGACAGCGGTGGAGAGAACAATGTGTCTGAGAAGCACGGAATAGTCAAGCTCGACAGATTGCAAAGCTGCATCAAGCCCTCCTCTCGGTTTAAGTTGCTGAATTGCTGCACGATTTTCTTGTGCCGCTGCCACGCCTTCGAGGCAAGGGAAACTTGTTTGCCAACGTGACGAAGTGAGGAACAAAGTTTGATTGGCTAAAGATTTTTAAACACAGTTTAGTACCTGTTTGGGGGACTGGAAGCATGTCTGGCAAGAGCCATCGAAAAACTTCCAGCCTGTGGAGATAGTAAGAAGGTGACACGTCTTTAAATGCTTGCAAAACTTCCCGTGCTGCCGATGGTGGCAATAGCTTGTGGAAGAACTCGTTCGGATCGTTGATTTCCTCATAGAGCCAGGATAAGATTTCTGGTTCCTCCACAGTAACACCTTGCTCCCTTCCTGACGAGTCAGGTCCGTCTCTTATACCAACTACAGCTTTCTCCACTAGATCCTTAGCGTGCTCACCAATTTTCAATCCCTGCTCCTGAAGACTTTTTCTTTCTATGCCTCGACCCATCACCTGCCTCATCCTCGATCCATTATAAACCCCAAACCCTTTCTATCCTTGATGCCATTAAAATGTGCACATGTTTTAACTTGACTGCTTCCTCAGGTGGTGCACCCTTTGAATTCGATTTGAATTTGAATTGACAAAAGAAGTATATACATGGCCCACGATCACTTTTGTGATCATTAAGCCGCGAGCTTAGAAAAAGACTCCAAAGAGGGAATTTAGAGCCTGGGAAGGGGAATGTGTGTTGCTTGTATGCTCCTGACAACGTTGGACTCGAGGATGTCGATCATGGTAGGATCTCTAGCGCACCGCGGCACCTTGAACTGGGCGACGCTCCCCTCCCTGTTGGAAACCACGTAGTCGACAATCCGATCGAAGGTCCCGTTCTGCAGGAGCTTGATCTCCATGGCTCCCACGCTGCCTTCTCTCCGATTCCTCAGGTAAACCACAGACAAGGACGACTCGAGCATCGAGCAGCACTCCTTCAGCTTGAGCAGCTCCACGCTCGAATCCGAAACCGGCAAGGAGAGCTCCCAGTAGACCACGTAGTGGCCCGGATGCGAGCAGAGATCGACCCTGCTCGTGTAGTCCACCACAAAAACATCCTGCGGCAGCAAAGAGCAGGCGTTGACGACCGCGGTGTGGAGCTCGAGCTCGTCAGTCTTGTCCGTGTCGACGCTGAGGAGCACTCCCGCGCGGCGGACGAAGGCAAACTGCGGCGCGCTGTTGTAGAAATCCACCACTCGCAGCACGTCCCCGACCCTGTATCTGTACAGCCCCGCGCGATTCGTGATGACGAGCTCGTACTCCTTCCCGAGCTCCACGTCTGCCAGCTCCACAAGATCACCACTGGAGCTGTTCTTACAGTTCACTGGGAGGAACTCGTAGTATGCGAAGGAAGGGAAGATGGTGTAGAGGATTGGCGATGGAGGGGAGAGAGGACTCAAGTTGACCCCGAGGCTGCTGCACTCGGAGGAAGCGTAGAGCGGCGAGGCGATGGGCAATTCGCCGCTGAGGAAGTCGATGACCGGGACATACTGCTGCATGGATCCGGTGACGATGGTCTGGATGACTCGGGCGTTCGGGAAGAGGCGAGTGATGATCCCGCGCCAGTTCTTCTTGCTGCACTCGCGTTCGATCGCGTCGGCCAGCTCTGGATTTGGCTTCCGCAGCACCGCGTTCACGGCGTGCTTTACCGAGAGGTCCGAGATGATGTTGGAGTTAACTTTGCCGGATCGGATGTCCTGGCACAAGTCTCTCCAGCAATCGCTGAGGCGTTTCATACTCCGGACCAGAGTCGACGCGAATGGCGCGCCGAGTGTGGCGACTTGGGTGGACTGGACGAGGCCGCACAGGAGGTGCGCGTAGCTGGATTGATCGAAGTCGACGCAGAGGAGAACTTGGTCTGGGCTGGTGAAGCCCGAGCTCGGATCGATCTTCCGGTTGAGAAACGCGGGGCTGGTGAAGTATCCGCTGAGACCCGAGCAAGTTACGACTCCTCCGGGGGTTACTCCGGGTTTTCGCACGTAGATGAACTGCAGGCTCTTGCCTTGGATCGGTATTTGTCTGGAGAAAAAGAGAAACAACGATTTGAGTGAGATAATCTGTCAGCTTGACAAATGATATAACTCTCACTTGTTCAAGCAGGCGCGAGAGATTCTATTCATCAACACGGACTCGATGTCGTAAGTTTCCGACTTTGGGAAGAGCTTTTGCTTGCCACCCGAGGTGCCGGAGCTGCAAGTTAAACTTGTGTAAGTTTCCACGGCGCCGGGAGATTTCTTTCAAGTTACGTTACCTTGTCAGCATTTGACGGACTGGAGCATCGGTGAGAATTCTCGAGTCGTCGCCGCTGGCCATCCGCGTGATGTCGGATTCGATGTCCGTGTAGGACGAGAGCGGCATGGCTCGCTTGAAATCGTCGCGGCTTGGGACTCCACACAGGCCGTGTCGCTTGAAGTATTCTACGTTGGCATTCTTTGCGAGTATTTGCTCCAGAATGCCGGCTTGCACAGCGCCAACGTCGCGAGTTATGTCGCCAACAAAGTCGAGGATTTGATCGTCCGAGTCTCTGGTGTTCATGACGAGCTGAGCGTCATACCAGTGATCCATAGCTCGAAAGCAGATCGCTTTAAACTATGCAAGCAAAGAACAAGGAATGCGGTAGGCTGGGAGAGATTTGGCAGAGATAGAGAAAGAGAGCGCTATCGATGATGGAACAAAGATTTACCAACTGCTGGCTTTTATAGAGAAAGAAGCCATTCACGAGTCACGACCAAAAAAAAGTCCGAATACTCTTTCTTTGAAATCGTCGTCCTGCATGTTTTCACCGAGGAAAAAAGAGAGAGAGAGAGTCATAGTTGGAGCACACTTCGATCCGTGTGTAAACTTCGGCCAATCAATGTTGAAGTCAGCAATATACTAGAAACCTGAAACCTCGTAGCCTCCTAAAACCCGACCGTGACGTATTCACAAGAATCAATCCCTGTGGTTATCTCCGTTGGGGTCATTGTCGTCGTCACTGTTGACGGCCATGCTCATGTTCTTCCTGCCGCTCTCGTTCCTTTGCCTATCGTCTTCCAAACGAAAGTCATGAGTCTCCGAGGGAGCGTCTCTCACAAAACTTTGAAAGACTTACCGCCGCTCTCCTCGTCCGAAGTTTCTCCAACTTCTTCCAGTGCCCTTCGCAATGACTCCTCGTGCTCCTGGAACACAGAATTCATATCTTTGTTGGTACGCTACGAATCGCAGCTGTGCAACTTACTTTCGCTAGTCGTTTGGCGTGTTCGATTTTAGCAGGGTCGGCGTCGTGTTCCAGCTCTTGAACCTGGACAAGGGAGAGTTTCTGTGTGATTTCACCGATCAAAAGTATAATGCACCACGCATGTCTTACTTGCTTTATCAACGAATCTACGGATGGAAGTTTGTATTTACGCTCTCCTTTCGATTTATGCTGGAAGCTCACACTGGGCTTCTCTATTCGTTTCTTGGATCCCTGATGCTTGTCTGCAGACGAGTTTTTCTTTCCGGGTTGATGTTTGCCATTGGCCTGTATATCCTCTGGGGCCATCTACGGAAGGAAGACCCGAAGGTCATCAGTCCAATCGTCTGTACAACGAAGCCTACCTTGGAGAGGTCTACCCGCTCAGAACTTTCCTTCTCGGTACCCATATCGTACACCAAAGTATGGGTCCCCTGCAAGAAGCACAAGGAAAAACGCGTTGAATATCTGACGAGGTACTGTAACGTACATCTTCCTTGTGGAAATCTCGGACGAAGGCCTCGTAGAAATTGTTATCATCTGGCCAGCGCATTTTTATAAACTGGCCCACCCATCGATCCTCTAGCGCATCCCTCTTCTTACCTTGCGAAGGACCTCTTCCTTGACTAGAGATCTTGTCCGAGCTCTGTAGAAAGGGAACCATTAGACAAGGTTTTAAAAACCGAGGAACATCAAAGGTGGTCTAGGCAGCTGAAGTAGCTAACCCCTTTGCTCTTGCCTCTTGTCGGAGCTGCTCCACCTTTCTTGGACATAGATTTAGGAACTGGAGCTGGCGCCGGAGGAGGTGGCTGCGGCGGGGGTGGAGCAGGAGGCATCGCTACCTGATGAGAAACAGCGCCAGTCTTTTGCTTCTTCCGAGATTGCGGGACAAGTTGAGAAGAATGTAACTGTTGCGGAGCACTGGCCGTCGCATTAGCGCCCGAGGGCATGGCTTGATCGTTTCCAGACTGCTTCAAATCCCTGGAGGTGTACCAAAACGAAGGTGAGCAAGAGCAAACTTTGAGGACACGCAAATTTCACCTTATCTGACGTAGAGAATCATCACCAGCCACTTTAGCAAGAAGGTCGCGATGTTGCGCGTCAGTAACTCTGAGTTCCTTCCGCAAGTCGGAGATAAGACGCTCTTTGGCCTGCCAGTAGCCTGACACGAGTGAGCAACGCTTTCAACGAAGGTATAACCAAATCTAGTTTTTCTTCTTGTTTTACCCAGCTGATGTTCTCCGACTGTGCTCCGAAGGCACGAAGAACAGCGGTGTACGCATCTTGTTCTAGTGTTCGTATCAAGTGGTCGATGCCCTTCCCTCCATTCGCTGCTCCAGCTTTGCCATTTCCAGCCAGTGCTCTAGAGTTACTTGCTCTAGGCACAGCAAGCGATGGTGGCAAATCATCATCGGTTCCTAGGAAAATAAAAACAAATGACTCCAAGTGGAAGTAAAAGAGAGAAAAAAAAAAAAAGGCTCCCAATCGATCCCTGCAAGCAGGCAATTCAGCCGCATTCCATTCCACTGCTGCTGCATTACCGCTCAAGCATCGAACGCAAACGCTCCAGGCCAGGGGTTTGAGGGAATCCGGAACGGCAGGAGGACTTACCGCTGCTATCGGAGCGCCGCATCTCCATCTCCCTCGAAATCCCAGCTGCCGCCTTGGCCGCCGCTCGCCAGCTAGCTCGAACTAAGCCCTTGCCGCCATCGCCGTTCCAAGCCCTTCGAGCGTCATAGCGCTCGCGAATCGCGCGCCGTTCCGTACACTATGGCCAAGATAATTCAGCCCACCTATTTCTCAATCTCCGCCGTCCATCGAGCACAAGCTCTATCCACCGTCCGTTGTGGAGGAATTAGGGTTCTTGAGTGGAAGTATGCTGAAGATCAGGCTCAAGGCGCAGGAATCGCCGCCGGCGCAACGCAAGGAGGAGAGGAGTAAGCAGGAGGATGTGGCAGTACCGCGATCCATGGTGCCGCCGCATTTGTCCCGCGAGCAGCTTCCCGAAGCCCGAGGGGCGGGAATTGCCAGCAGCGTCGCCGAGATCAAAATCCTTGGCTACGCAGTGCAGCGCAGGAATGGGGATAAGGTCCACATCTGCACGCGTTGTAATTTTCCCATCGCGATCTACGGCCGGCTGGTAAGAGCGAAGAAGCAGTGAATTCTTTCTTTGTCCTTCTCGATTGTAATATTGTTCTTGACAGCATCCATGCGAGCACATTTTCTGCCTAACGTGTGCGAGGAAGGATTCCATCTGCTTCTTGTAAGTTCTTCCAGAATTTTTTCTTTCTCGATGATCAAGTAGAAATTTCATTGTTGCTTTCCTAGATGTGATGAGAAGGTTTCACGAGTAAGGAAGATCGAAGCACTGGATGGCGTCTTCATCTGCGGTGCCCCTCGGTGCCTCAAATCGTTCCTGGAAAAACAGGCTTTCGAGCATCACGTCAAGGACCAACACAAGGATCTAGTACCGGGTACCAACATGAAGCACGAAGAAAAGATGATCACCGACGAGAAGAAACCACAATCTAGCGAGAGACAATCTCGACAGCAGCAGTTTCGCAACGCTCAACACCAGAAACAAATGGATCAGCTCAAGCAAAAAGCTCCAAAGTTTGGCTATTCTCCCAGCCTCCCAGATTACAGCACAATACAACAAGACGGACAAAACTTCTACGCCGCCTATCCTCAACTAGACGACCAGTTGCAAGCCAGATGGAACCAACCTCCTGGCTTTGGTTAGATTCGGGCTCCAGGCTTCTCTCCGCTCAGCTATACTGCGACGGCGTGATCACATCATCAATCTTGAGGATCATCTTCACCACCTGAGTTGCGAGGAGAATCTGTTGCTTCTTCCCAATCAACGTCTCGAAAACGTTCTGCTCCTTCATGTCGTTCGTCTTAACATCGTTGCAGTCGATTCCGAGGTGGGGATTTTTCTCCTGTCAACAAAAAACAATCTTGTTGACTATAGCTCAAATGCGAAACAACAAGAGCTACCTTGATCTGCTGGGCTTTCACGGCTGTCAATGTATCGATTGGTTGCAAGCCACTGTTCTCAGCCAGCGCCATGGGAACTCCATCAAGAGCGTCGGCGAAAGCTCGAACGGCATACTGTTTAAGAGGAAAAGAAAATCAGCTCATTCTAACTTATCAGAGGGCCAAAAGATTACCTGTTCGACGCCTGGAATCCGATCTGCAGCAGCTTCCACCGCGATGGAGCATGCAATCTCGGCAGACCCTCCTCCGTAAACGATAGAATTATCACGGATGAGGTTCCGCGCAACGCATAATGCATCATGGATACTACGTTTTGTCTCCTCGACCATCATCTTGCTAGCTGTAAACAACCAGCGTCATTCTCGTGATCCGACAAGTACGAAAACACATACCTCCCCGAATAAATATTGTCACTGCCCGAGAGTTGGCACACTGCTCAATGTAAAGCATCCTATCTTTTGTCGTCCCAAAAGACTTCTCCCGCACTATCCCAGCCTGAAATGCCTATCAGTAAGAATACGAAAACGAAGTGCCTGCGACATACCCGTCCAAGCTTCTCGGGCGTCAGCTCCTGAAATCTGGGCACAATCCTGCCACCTGCAAGTATAATATGAGAAAACACGAGTAGAAGAGAGGATGTAGCTCACCTGTGGCAATAGCAATGAGCTCCAGTTCAACACCTCCGACCCATCGAACAGCCGGCAGACCACGATGCATCAACAGATGGTTTGCTTCATCGTCAAATCCCCACTGGCAGATAACAAGCGTAGCACCAACATCCTACAGGCAAAGAACCGAATTGAGACAAAAAGAGAAAAAGCAAGGCGAAAACGCATACCTTGCACTTCTGCACCATCTCATCAAAGTACTTCTTCTCGGCTTCTCGAAGTGCCTCGAATTTCTCGGTGGAATCAATGTCGATCTTATGCTTGGTCTTTGGCTTCGGCGGCTCGAAGGGACACGTCAAGATTGCAATCTTCGCATCTTCTATCCTCTTGGGCATTTGTGGATGGCTCATGTCTTTGTCAACAACAATGCCGTAGACAAGCTCCGTGTCCTCCAATTTACCGCCAACCTTTCCCTCGACCTTGATCAGATCCAGGTTCACATCCTTCCTCTCCAGATCTGCAACCGCGAGAACAGCTTTGACGGCAATCTCCGCGAGCAATGCCTTGCAGCGATTGACACTAGAAAGAAAAGAATAGAAATGTTGGAATGGAATGCTAGAGAAAAAGAAGAACCAGCTTACATCTTTGAAGAAAGCGTTGTCATGCAAGTCTGAACTAGCGGCTGGATGTTGGTGGAGCTGAACTCAAAGCTGTGAGAGATCTTCGACAGATGGTCCACAGCAATCCTAGCAGCCTGCTCGTAGCCCTCGGCAACACGAATAGGATGAATCCCTCGTTCAAGAAGGATCTCGGCCTGTTCGAGCAGCGCCCCGGCTGTGACTACCACACCAGTGGTTCCATCGCCAATCTCATAATCCTGGCTCCTGGAGAGCTCCACCATGAGCTTTCCGATCTGATTCTCCACTTCCATCTGCTCTAAGATGGTAGCGCCATCGTTCGCTAGAAACGAAACCATCAGACAATGCAATGCCGCAAAGAGAAGTATACTTACAGATTGTGACATCGCCATCGCCGCTCTGGAGCATTTTGTCCATGCCTTTCGGGCCCAGAGACGTCCGGAGGATGCGAGCGACGGATTTGGCCGCCATAATATTCGCCTTCTGAGCTTCCAAACCTTTCGCTCGAGTCTTCTGCTCCTGCTCGCGGAGAATGATGAACGGCCGCCCATACTCGTCGAATGCGAGCGCCATCGCCGCGCAAGCAAAAAGCCAAGAACCCTACCCAAGAACCCTAAAAAGCAAGTCCTATGGAGACAAATCCACACCGTTGGACTTCTTCCCACCGTTGGATCGGGAAATCATAACTGCGACAGAACCGCAAGGGGTATAGAACTGTTAAGTTAGGTTAAATTCAAAGAGAATGCGGTAGAGCGAAAGGAAAAACAAGAGACGACGATCGATCGCGCTGTGGCTGGAATGAGAATCACGACGCAATCCAAGGTATGGCCTCGTCGATTCAGGATCGATATGGATGAGAATGCCGCTGCGCAATGACAGATGCAAGCTCCTCAGTCCGCTGAGGATCATAATACCGTCGATAGCGGGAGCAAAGGCGGAGGAGCTAGCTTGTCATCGCCATTGATCAAGCAAGGGGACACCGAGAGCGTCGGGGGCACAAATCACAGCTCCGCGGCGCCGACGAGGCCCAAACTCGTGAAACCGCGGCTCAGAGCTGAGGGATTGATGGTTCCTCCTGCCTCCGATGCCGCTACTCTTCGTCGCCAAGTCGCTGCTCTCCAGGCTGATGTGGAAGCACACATTGGAGCCGAGCAAAGGCTCCAAAGTTTCAACCAGCAGCTAACCGAAAGGTATGAGCGAGCATGAAGAAAAACTATCGGCCTTTCCATTTTCGATTGCTTTTCTTTTGGCAAAGCTAGGCTCGAGATTTACATGAAACAGAACCATGAGAACCTGGAGAGGGCTGCGAGTGAGATGAACACACTCCATCAAGACATGGAGCAGACCCTCGAGTTGCAGAAAAAATTGTCCAAGAGGTGAGGCTGCCTGGTTGCTACAGTGCTTTTATGTTTGATGTGTTTACTGCAGAGCAAGCGTCCTGGAAGGGGAGAAAAAAGAACTTGAGCAGACATTGCAAGATTATTTGCAGATGTTTGAAACGGAGCGAATGGCTTTGCAAAAGAAAGTGACTGCGTTGAGTTCAGATGTTAGCGAACGATCTGAGGCGGATACTGAAGCAAAAGCTCTCCAGGTCTTTTCTCTTTCCTTTTTTTCTTTTTTATGTTTCCTCTAATGCTTATGGCTGGCAGATGGAGTTGGAAAAAACGCAAGAAATGAATGAAAGCCTTCGCAACATTCTCAAGAAAAACGCTTCTGACGCAATTGAGCTCAAGAAAAAAATTGAGGAATATAGCAGCAGGCTTCAGAGCCTTCTTGCCGAGGTTGGAGCCGCTTAGTTTAAACTAAGCGAACTAAATTTCTTTGGTACGAGAAAAGTATGATATCCTAAAAGCGTGAATCCGGCGTCTTCGAATTTTTGCAGGAGAAGCGAGATGAAGAAGCTGAGAAAAGATACAGGAAGGCAATGTTGAAGCGGTTTTTTGCAAAGCTTAAGAAAGGCCTTTATGTGGAAGCCTGCACACAGTCTGAAAGGAAGTCTGCTGACAGATTGTTCAAGCTACCGTGCTGCAGAAAGGGATTTGAAGCATTGCGAGTCGCCACAAGAAGATCAAGAAAATTGCGGATGGCAAAAACCAGTCAGACCGCGGTAAGTAAGTTTGCTTACAATTAGAAGTCTACTCACGGTACGGCATTGCAGGCTTTTCTACGAGACTTCTGGAGCGAATGGCGACTTGTGACACTTCGACAAAGGAAGCATGCGAAACTAGTCAGTCGACACCGACGGTCCGAACTGCTGAAGTCGTTTTATGGCTGGAAGAATCTGGTTTACGCGTACCAGAACCAGTGCGGGCAGTATGCCGATGTTGCAGCTAAGCATTGGCGCGGTGGTCTTGTCAGGCGCGCATGGGATCACTGGCTGCAGTGGCTACTCGATTACTCAAGACCAAAGAAGAACAGGCTGCAAGAGGCTCTGTGGCATCTGCGAGATTTTACGATGACGATGGCTCTGGCTGCGTGGAAAGGTGTAGTTTTGAATAAATTGAGGAAACGTGTGAGGACGCAACAGGTGCTTTTCTTGAGAAGGCAATGGTGCCTAAGAGTCGTTTTCCACAAGTAAGTGCTGGGTAACTTGCTATGTTAAAGTTACGTTGTTGCATTCGCAGGTGGCTGCACATTGTAGAGGTGAAACAAGCTCGGAGATTTCTTCATCACAAAGCAAATAATTTCAGAAGGGGTCGCTGGTGCGATTTGGTCATGAGATGCTGGGATAAATATGTCAAAGGTAAGAGACGGATATCTGCGTCCAACTCAATTGCCCACGATTACTACAAAAAGAGTCTCAAGCGCCAGGTTCGTGTGTCTGTGTTTCTTATCTTTGTACCAAATTAATCTGCTTTGTCTTCACCCGTAGGAGCTGAAGATATGGAAACACAATATCGAGTTTTTGAAGGCCGAAGCGAAAGCTACGATGGGATTCAATCATGCTCTGATCAAGACAGCGATGGGGTTTTGGATGGATTACCACGTACTTCAATCCTTAAAGTTGTGTGATAACTGGCCAGCATGAACGATGTGCTGACTGCTTAGCTGACAGGAAGAAGAGGCAAAAGAAGGCCATCGTACATCGGCATAGAATTGAGTCTAAGGTGACGTTCTCGTTCTCTATCTCTCTCTTTTCTCAAAGAAAAGAAATATCGTGTGCTAAGGTGCTAAGGAGGATACTACTGATCTGGTGGGAAGAAATGGTTTGGACGAGGCATGCAAGTGAGATGCAGCATTCTTTAGCTTCCTGGTGGCAAGGTGCTCGTCTGCGAGCCGCTTTTCATTCTTGGATGCGTTCGACATTTGGAAATGCATTGACAGCAAGTTTTAAGTGTCAGACTGATCTCCTTGAAGCAGTGGTACACTTTTCTTTTTTATTTTTTAGATTGCTTCATGAACTTATTGCTCTTGTTTTTTAGGAGAAGTTCGAGGCTCAAAAGCATCGGACTACCACTGTGGACATTGAGAACCTTCACTTGATTGATCGCTTGCACATGATGTCTTCGGAGATTGCTTTTCTAATGACAAGAATTGGTGACAAGTGTAAACGACAAGACGACCTTCAACATGCGCTTGAGGACGCAGCAATCATAGAAAGCTCGATGAGGGGGGATTTAGAACAAAAAATAATTCGCATTCTGGAGCTTGAAAAGGATGCCAATGTCCTGCAGGTACTGAATTTTATCATTTTGACAAGCTTGAAGTTCATAGTTTTCCCAGAAAAATCTGCAAAGGAAAAATTCAGAAGACGTAGCGGGAGAGGTGTACCATGCTCTGCATGTTCAAAGCTTGGAGCAAGCATTGAGGAACGTTCAAGTTGAGCTATCACAGAAGTCTGTGCAAGTAGATTCCTACGAAAAGGTGGGCTTTTTAATGTGCACGTTGAAGCGTGTAGTTTCACCGATAGATTTATTTCAGGCTTTGAAGGAAACCGCAGATAAACTAGACGGAACATCTGATGAGTCGCACCAGAAGCTAAGCAGCGCTTTTCAGATTGCTGCTTCGTTAAGAAAGCTTCTTGAAGATCGTGAGAACCAATTTGCGGCTCTTGAAGGCAGCTCCCGGGTACGAGCTCGGTTTATTATCAAACATAAAACTTCCGAATTTTATTTATGCTGCACAGAGGAGAGACCTGGAGCTTCAAGAAATCCAAAAGAAGCTTTCATTAAGTAAGACCACGTTCATGGACACTTTGGAGGCTCGTGATACACGGATCAACGAGCTAGAAAAGCTACTACTCCAGAAACAATCGCAGGTATGTATCCAGAGAACGTGGTTTTTAGAGTTGATTCGAAATGGTGATGTCAACTAGATTGAGGAAGTCCAGCAAGATACACAAGACGTACAGCTGGCTATTAACATTCAAGACAATTGCTACAAGAAGCTCGAGTACGACATGAAGATTGGCTTCAGCCAGCAGTGGCAAGCGACGAAGACTCAGCAGACTTGCGAGAGGTGGTTTGCTTAGCGGTACTTCATTTGTTTTTAGCCGAGTCACACTTGAGATTTTATAAAGCAGTTTCCAGGGCGGCGTCTTATCGCATCGCTGGAGAAATGTTGCGTTCTCCACACATTTTTAGCAGCCGTAGCTGTGGCTGCTGGCGCTGGAAATTGCAGCAATATGGCGAGGAGACACTAAGCCGACGCAGCAAAATACATTTCCAGTGCAGCAGCATCAAGGACGAGCGAGGCATCAGGTAAGCAGCGACTTCCAAAATGCTTGTAGTTTACTCACCGTGGAAAACAATTCCAGTCGAGAAGCAAGGATCAGAGAGGAGGTCATTTCTCCATTCCGTTCGCTGAGGCTGTTCTTATACCCAGCTCTGATGGCGAGTGCAACCATAGCGGCACTGACTGCTTTGCCACGGCTCATTGCTGCGCTCGCGAACTCTCCTAATGCAACAGTCGAGAACAACGCATCGCTCGGTCAAGTGCTGGAAGGTCTTGGAATAGACGTGACCGCCATCGTGATATTTGCGCTGCTCTACCGGTCCGACACCAAGGCTCGAGACTTGCAACTCGCCAAGCTGAGCCGGGAGGAATCACTGGCTTCGCTGAGAGTTGAGCTGGGAAACAAGCGAGTCGCGACGCTGGAACAAATGAGAGGAAGTGCTAGGTTCGTCATAATTGCCGGCCCGAAGTCCCATGTTGATCAAGCACTGGAGCTCAGTCTACCATTCCAGGAGCAGCTGCTAGAACGTGGTGTGACGCTGGTTCCGTTTGTAACACCACCGGCAGCGTCTACAGAAGAATCCCAGAGTTCTTCCTTCCAGGCCCAAAAGTCACAGGCAAAAGATGACGATTCAGCAGCGGCAGCAGCGGCAGCTCGGAGATGGATCGTGCTTCCAATCTACACCTCTGAATGGACAAAGTAAGTTTCGATTCTTTTTTTTTTTTTTTCCTTTAGTTGATGATGTACTTTGTCCCCAGATGGTTGAGCGAGCAAAAGAAGATTGCGAACATTCCAGAGGACAAACCAGTCTACTTGTCACTGAGAATGGACGGACGAGTTAGAGGCAGCGGTGTGGGATTTCCTCCGTGGAGTGCTCTCGTTGCGCAGCTCCCGCCAGTCAGTGGTATGTGGCGTGGTGCTCTAGACGGCATGGATGGCAGAGTATGAATCTACTGGAGAAAGTTTTTCTTTCCATAGTAGTACTAAGCATTCGGCTTCACAGGCCTAGCAACGACTTGTAACCTTCTCGCTGTCCATGGCCGTGGAGAAAACCCGTCGCAGCCAGCAATTTAGCTTGCCACCTCGAAGCCGCGGAGCAATGAGCTCGCTAGCACCTCTCGCAGCGTCGACGAATAATCTCGCAGGGCAGGCGCCGGCTCTCATCTTGTACAAGAACGCCAGTTGCCTGTCGCTAGAGCTGCTCTCAAACGAGCATGGTAGAGAATTCCTGTGTCAGCGGGTGGTAATGCGTGCATCCCACTGCTTCCACCAGATGCCGGAAAACCTGCCGCGAAGAACAAGCTCTTATAAGCTTTCACTCAGCCGAGAAGATAAAAGCTGAATTCAACTCACCGCGTAGGCGACAGCGTAACCATCAAAGTGGAGGTTCCCCGGCCAAGCTCGTCCTAACGCTTTTGATTGTATTCATCTTTCAAGACGCATGGGATCACCAGCGAGTTGCTAGTTGCATGGCCACCATATACACTCGTATTGGAGCTCGTGATAGAGTCATGTCTGGCGAGAGTAAGCTACATATTACTTTCTTTTATTCAGGACCGATATACTTATGCCAATTCGGCACATTCATGGTCGAATGCGCAGAAGCTGGGTCCATCCTCTTCGACGAGGGATGCACCATTCACTTGGAACATAGCAGCCAAGCTGTGCAAAGAAAAGAAAGAAGCTGTAAAGCAAAAAAGTAAGGAAACTTCTTACTTGTGCCATGAGAGTAGCCACACACGTTGCTCTGAGCAATGTAAACTTCCCTCCCAGTTTGAGGCTTACCAAGGCAAAGTGCTCAATGCATCAACGATGGCTGTCCAGTGGCGCTGATGCTTGTTAAACTCGAGTATCATCCAGCTCAAAGTCTTTCTTTGCGTTTCCTCGTCCCCGTCCTGCGGCCAAACACGACGTGAGAGAAATGCTCTGCAGACATTTAATGCTGCTCTTCGACTTTAATAGCTAACAAGCTCAACGTAGAAGACATGCCTTCGGCATGGTAAGCACGCAGAAATCCCGAAACAGCAGCACAATGTCTTCAACTACAGCTCAGTTGAACAGGGTCAGCAAAAAGAAAAACATATTTGAAACTTGAAATGCAAGAGGTAGTAACACTTCAGCGAAAGAACTCTCAGGAAATCCCCGTAAGCGGGCACTGAGTCGCTGTAGATCTGGCACCTTTCGGAGTAATGCTCGCAACTCAGCAGCACATTCGGGATTGCACAGAAGCTCCTCGACTGAATCTGGCCGATGATTTATAGCTTTGATGTCTTGAAGTGGAAGCAGTCGCGCAGCTCTCAAGGTATCCTATGAGGCTTCCTGCACAATCACGCATAATATTTTCTCACGCCTCTCACACCCTTAACCTACCAGCCCAAGCAACTTTAGGCTGGCTATTGTCTGACCGTCAAGCCTCATAAAGCCCCGGTATAGTTCATGCGCACAGAGAACGCCATTATATATCTCCGCGTCCCTAGCTACAGAGTGGCCGTAAGTTTTCATAAGTGTTTGGACTTCTGATAATCTGAGCCGCAGATGGTAGAGAAAGCTTGTTCAGGTAGCTCACGGACGCATGTAAATTGCAGATAGCACCTCAAGAGGTGCTTTACGAAATAGGAGGTCTCTTGCCGAGTGTTTCAACGCTATAATCGTCCTGGTCTTAATGATGTTGTGCAGCGTCTTTACTACTGGTTTCTTACACCTTTGCATCCAAGTTCTGACTTCCCTGAACCAGCCACTGTTTTAGAGCTAAAGACGCTGCTATGACCGCATTGGGAGCTCTCGTATCTCTTTTGCACGGGATCAAGGTTCTTATTGCTTGCCAGTAGTTAAATGCAGAACACGACTTTGTAGTAGCGCTACAAGTTTCTGAACAGCGTCTTCAATTCCACTCTCACGCACTCCAACCTGAAGCCTAAAATTTGGGACGCAATACGCATTTACCTGTCTCCAACTAGTCGAGCTCTTTGTGCCCGATCTCTCATAGAACTTCCCCTGCAAAAAATCAATTAAAATTCGAGTTGACAAAAGAAACTCACGATCATATCTCACCACTTCGAAGGAGAGAACAATATCCATGTACTGGCATTTGGTTGTCCAATACCGCCTCTGCGATATCCACTCACTTGGCTTGAGCTTCTGCCCAAGCGCCTTTCTTCGAGCCTCCGTCGTCACCAAGAGCTTCCAGCAATTTTTTGCGTTTGCTCTCATCAAAGTTTTTAACTTCCAATTTTTTTTAATAAAAAGTAGGCACTCTCCTCCTGTGAGGAAAGAAAGAAAAACTATCACGCGTGATAAAACAGAAATAAAACCTGCTTTTAATGAGCTTCTGCCTTTGATCCACTTGTCAGAATCTAGATGTGAGACCAGAAAACTAGAGACAAACTATCTGAAAAATCTCTTCATCGCCCTCTATAAATTCATTCACTTCAAGGAGGCAACCAGGATCGAACTAGTGACCTATCAGACTGCAGCCGATTGCTCTACCGCTGAGCTATACCTCCATCACACAAACCATATCTGGTTAATAGAGATGAGATCATGTTTCCTTTTCTTACTCTGTACGTCGTTGAGTGTTGGCTTATTTCCAATGGCACTCCGATTTGCTTTTCTTGCTTAGCTCCTCGAGGTCTCCCAATCCTGGCATCTTTCCGCCCTGCATTTTCACTGCCAAGTTCCTCATTTGAGCACGCATTGGTATAGTTGAGATATAAACTGGCCAACCCGCAAAAATCGAGAACAGATATATGCTTATTTTAAGAAGCTCAGGATCTTCTCTTTACAGAAACAATGACTGAGAACGAGAGAACAGCATACTCAAGCTCCTTGCAGCTTCACGGATTTCTGTGGTCCGAGCAAGCGTCACAAAATGCCTCAATGTATCCGGCAAAGGTTAAACGCTGATTCGAGAAAAACGAAAGAAACAAACCACTTTGCCTGTCGAATTTGCTAGAATCCTAGCTAGATATCGCATTTTCCAGTACGCGCTAGGCAGAGGTAGGCAGAGCTTGCAATTGTAACAAAACTCAAACAGAAACGCCCTCAAGGAAACCAAATTTAAGAACAGTCTGTCGAGCAAAACACCAAGCGAAGCAAAGGAATGAGGCTGCAGCCAGAACAAAATCAAAGCAGTACAACTTCGTTCTCGAGTATCCTCTAGAGAGTTCCACTGGCCTCTTATAACCTGGATGTCAAAATGCTAGGAAAAATTTAAGAGCGAACGAACAGGATAAAAGAAAGTGTGCACTTAAAGACTCTTCCGGAGCGTCACAGTTAAAATTCCCACGCTTCCACACCAAGCTAGAGCACAAAGATTACAAGAGACAATTGTAAGCTTACCACGCCATTTAGAAGGCATGGAAAATCACCCCTTGGGAAACCCACATATCATTCTTCCTCCAAGTGGTCCAGCAATCGCGATCTAAAACTTAAGAAAACAAAGACAAGCAAGTAAACACGATGGCCACCTTTATTGACGTGGACAAGAAGCGTTACCGTCAAAGTTTGTCCACGACGTTGAACTAGAAAAGGAGAACCTCGTCACTCTCCAATACGCAATGTAAGATCAGCTATAGTAGAGGGAAGAATGGGACAGGTATATCCAGAACCCTTAACGTGGAGGAGGCGCAATGCCGGTGGCGAGCCGGATCGTAGGTAGCGCGGAATTTGGAGCTGGAGCTGACGGCGATCAGCACAAGAAGCCTAAGAAGGCATGCCCTGATTTCCTCGATTTTTTGCCGACGCTGCCCCGGACGACGATGACGCCGTGGTCAGCACCAATCGCTGTCGCAAGTTTTGGAAAGCTATAGCTTACCTGCTCACAAACAATGCAAGGTACTTGCGATCTTTCGTGTTCTTGCGATGGAGTAATCATTTCTAGCACGTACGCATGCATCCGACGCAAAGACTCTTATTTACGCGAATGCGGCAGCGCAACGAGGACCATGCTCGGATGCTACAACCGTTGCAAGGTCCGGCATCTAGTCGCCATGAATTCGATGATCACTAGACCACAGCTCGTGACATCCAAGCAATGAAGGAGTTCTTCGATGTAATGCCAAAGCACGATGCTATCTCCTCGACTGGGCATCCGATGAAAAGCCATTGAAGAGCACAAGCACGATGACGAACATGTGCTCGTCCTACGTCGTCTATGAACGCCGCAATCTAGCCATGAAAACTTTTGATAGCATCCCCGAAAGGTGGACACTATGGGGATCTAGAGCGAGCGTTGATCTCTGGGATGATGTCACAGATTAGAGAGCTGCTTGGGAGCTCAAATCATTCGAGATAAATGTTCAAGGATCACTATCCTGGGCTTCGTTCCTCGCCGCTTGCAAAGTGGACCAAAGCAGCGCACAACTTGTTCCATCTCAGACTCCTTGGCCGGCACCTACTTGCTCGAGCTGTAGAATATCCCCTTGGAAAGTAAAGAAGCTCGAACGTCGGCTATCTGGAAAACTTACATGATGAAGACCTGCGGAAGCTGTCATCCTCATGCAGGATGGAGTGCCAAGCTTTCCAAGGTCAGCAGATCTTCGCAGATTTAGAGAAAGCCATCCCTGGTTCTCAAAGTCGAATGCGCCTGCAGGCTTCTCGCTCCAGAATCTCAAGTTTTTCGAACCACCGTCCACTAAACTACCGGGACTTGGTTCGAGCCGCTGTCGAAGAACATGTGGGAATGTCCACCAGATGCTACAGGTAGGATCGATCGATCGATCTCTCAGGAGGGCTTCATTGCGATCACGAAGGCTCCATCACAAGTTTTTCGTAGTCATTGATAAAGTTCTTATTTATCTTTTATCACAACAACGAGCCCTAAGCTATTTTTCTTCCCTTGAAATGGCGAGCAGCAAGGCGCTGCTGTGGGTCGCGGCGCTTCTGCTCTTCTTGCTCCTGATGCTAGTCACGCCCAGGATTCCACAGGATCAAGACTACCACGACTTTGCGGATCATCGCGCAATGCTTGGTAAGCGATACAAAGCTGGGAATTTGTCTCTGATTCTCATGTTTGCGTGCGATAGGAATTCCCAACGCTTTGAATGTTGTGTCGAATTTCCCATTCCTCGTCATTGGCGCCGTGGGAATGGTGTTGACGCTGCAAGGGCGAAGCTTTCGTTTGAGGTATAGCTCTCATTTTCTTTCTTTTCTCTTTGTTCTTTGTGTTTGAGCCTCTACTATAACGTTTTGGCAGCCTTGAAGGGGAAGTCCTGGGATGGACTTGGTTCTTCCTTGGCGTTGCAGCGACCACATTTGGATCTTCGTACTACCATCTCCATCCTGACGATTCCCGTCTAGTTTGGGATCGGCTGCCGGTGACTATAACACTTCTTTCTCTCTTATATTTCACTTGCTCTTTTTTTTTCTTCTGAATTGTAGATGACGATATCCTTCACTGCTATCATGGCCGTGTTCGTCATCGAGAGAGTAGACGATCGAACTGGGAAGGCGTCTGTTTTTCCACTTCTTGCCGCTGGAGCCTTGAGCGTCGCTTACTGGAGGTATGGCTTGACATGATACTGTGACTCAGTGTAAGATGGCTGCATTTTTCTTTTTCTTTTTCTTTTTTTTGTTACTCAGGTTTGCTGACGATTTGCGGCCCTATGCCTTGGTTCAGTTCGTTCCTTGCATAGCGATTCCTGTCATGACACTTACTATGCCACCACAGTACACGCATTCCTTATACTGGTTGTGGGCTGCTGGTAAGATTAAGCTCTTCACTCTCGTAGTCTTTTTTTTTTTTTTTTTTTTTGTAACGATTTTATCATATATATGACTCTGGTTTTTGCAGGCTTCTACTTGCTAGCAAAGGTTGCAGAAGCTGCAGACAATCAGATCTACCGTTGGACAGGCCATTTGGTAAGCGGCCACACACTGAAGCATTTGTTAGCGGCTTTAGTCCCGGTTTTCATCATGATCATGCTAGCTCGTCGAGAGGAAGCTGTTGACAAGTGAGTTTTTGCCTTTTTATCATTTTAAACCGCGTCTGATTGCTAGCATACAGGGTGTGCATAATGACTAAGCTGAGAAACCACTCACGGGTTAGAAGATTGTGTGGGAAGGAAGAAGGCAGTGAGCAGGATCATACTGAGGCTAATCTTCTCACTAACTCGGTGCCTTGAGTTGCTGTATAATGGGGCCAACCAGGTACGCGTTTTTTGTATGATAATCTCTTCTTACAAACAAAACAATCGAATATTACTCTTGGAGAAGAAATATTTCTTGCTTGCGAGCAAAATCACCAGACCTTCACTCAAGAGATATATAGAAGACTACTTTCAACCGAGAAGTCCATATTAGAAAGTGAAGACGACCTTGAGGATTGTGAGGGACTGATGAAATGGAGGGACCTCAAGAGGCACTTGATAGCTGAATTAATTTAATGCAAGAAGCTAAATGTATGGAAGTTCATCCATTTGACATATCATATTAATTCCACGTTTTTTTATAGAGAACCACTTTGTGATTATATCTATTTTGGTTGAAATTCACAAATAAAATAAAAGCATTTTGAATAGACTATGTGGTTTGGGCTTCCAGTCTTGCTTGTTACCAAGACCAACTTCCAAATTCCTGTTATAGAAACGGCATGCAATTGCCAGAAATTTTCTTGCTTGGAGCAGGATGGATTAGTCATAATTCCACTAGTGAAACTAATAAGATCCACACATGGTTACAGAAATTTGTAAAAATGGATTTGCATTAAATATTTAATCCTGATGCAATCTATAGCAATGAATATGTGATTGCACATGGGAGCATTATATATTTACACATGTGTAGATTTACTTATTGTTTTGAGTTGCATACAAAAATATTATGGACACAATCACTTTTTCGATTGCTATATAAGCAATTGAAATGCGAGTGTATATATAATATTTTTATCATGGGGTATGTCATGTATGCATGGGGCATGACACCTCAAGCATCATGTTAAATCATCCTAATCTAATGAGGGTATTTTTGTCTCATTTTCATGTGCACAAATTTATGATGTGCTGATTGTAATAATTTCTCTCCTCTCATTTCTTGTGGGTCTAACTCATTTTTTGTGGCTCTAGCTCATTTTTTATGTGCTACACACCCTAAACTGGCCAAAATTGCCCTGCAGTAGCATTAGTAAAGAATTAGTCATTTTTTGTTCATTGACATAAGCATGTTGGTGATATTGTAACTCCCTGTGCACATAAACAACACTACGAAGTGTGGTATTATTTGGACAGTCTTCAAATGCTTACTGGTATTATTGATTTTGTGTAAATAGATGCCCCAATGCTTTAGCTTGCAATATGTTGTAAAACAAAAGTTATGTCAAGACCATGATTTACATGTGGTATGGGAAATTTACTATCAATGCACTAGAGCTTCATAATTGACTTCATATTAAAACACACATGGGGAATTGGCTTAAGTCTCCTTCACAAAACTTGCTCCAGGCAAATACAGGCATCTTAGTTTGCCATTAACATATGTAATCCTTCACGTTGTCAATTTTTCATATTGTAAAAGCTTTAAGAAGCATTTAAACTATAACAATACTCTTGAGGGGATACACTTCTTCCCAGCTTATAGCTTTGAGATACCGATGCAATATACACTAGTCCACTCCAAACGAGGAGGTAAGATCCTTCATTCTATATATTCCCTCAATTTAGCACTCACCCACATAAGAAATCTTTTATTCATTGCTATTCAATATTTTGTTGTGTTATGTAAAAGGTCTATCATGACACTTTTTCAAGGCTACCTTCCTTAGTTCCCCTTTTGAAATATACACCTTTATCTAGTTATAATAAATTAATCTATTATATTCCACATAACTCATTTTCTTTTTCTGTAATACATATGGTTTTCACTTTATATCTTATGGTGATTTACTAGAAGATAACCACAAAGTGGAACTTAAACCCTTTATGTGCCATATATCACATGCTACATGCCACATGCCACATGTCTAATGACAATAGAGCAGAACCCAAATTTCAGGGCCTTGGGCCACTGAATGAAAGGAGAGAGCTAAGCTTGTAGTTAAGAAGCAAAGGAACTAGAGCACAAAATAATTCCCAAGTGTTCAGCCTAAGGAGCAAAAAGACAAAAGCATAAAGTAACTTGGAACAATCCTAGAGCTTTTAGCATCCCAATGCCATGACTAATTTACAAAATAGAGCCAAATGAAGTATAATATAATTTTAGCATACTTGTGGCCTAATGCAAGGATATGGGTACTCCACCAGCTAGCATAGTGTGGAACTTGGGTTGGACATAAAACAAGGATAGGCACGCAAGTGGGAACTAGACTACACCTCAAGTTAGTTAATGTCACGAATGTGACTTCGAGTATCGAAAGTTACTTGTCGGCCAGTCTTTACGGACATTCTTTCTTTATTGCCATGATGGCAAGAGGTCAGTATTGCTGGACCATTTATTAGCCCCTCTTGTGCTAGTGGAGTTAACTGGGCATTTCGAGTGTACTTAGACCGGACGAGCATAAGGACGGAATTCCTACGTGTTATTAGCTAAGCATACTTAACCTAGTAAGGAGTTCTCGTCTCGTTGTGTTTTGCACTGGTTAGTGACAAAAACCCTTGCGTATTGAGACTAGTCCTTCAATATTGCTACATGATAGCTTACAGTGTTTGCCAAACACCCTTGCTATCATGCCTTTTGTGTTAGTATCATTTCGGTCCCAAATACTATTTATGGAAAGTGTCTAGATTTACTCATTTGGCATATCTATGGAATGTAGAGATTGTTCTGAACACAATGATGTTCGTCCCACGTCCAAATTCACAATATAAGGACATTCCATATTTAGTAAGTTTCAAGCTTGTCCCAGAGACAAATTAACTCCTAGAACTAAGGGAGGCTTGGGGTGAAAGCCCAAAGCATGTGTTCCCAAGGGGGGGCGAGATGGGTATATGGGGGGTTCTAAATGTATAGTAGGGATAGTGGGTAGGTCAGGCATGGCTGACTAACCTGAGGCATAGTCTAGCTCCTGCTTGCGTGTTTGTCCTTGTTTTGTGTCTGGCTTGGGTCTAAGCCCAAGTTCCATTTCATGCTAGCTGATGGAGTACCCATATCCTTGCGTTAGGCCACCGGTATGCTGAAATAACACTAAACTTTGTTTGGCTCTCTTTTGCATGTTAGTCTTAGCATTGGGATGTTGGTTGCTTTGGGACTGTTCCTAGTCGCTCCGTGCTCCTGTCCCTTCGCTCCTTGGGCTATACATTTGGGAGTTATTCCATGCTCTAGTGCTATTGCTCCTTGGCTCCTTGCTTGGGAATTTGGCATCGTTCCTTCGTTCAGTGGCCCATGGCTTTGAATCTCGTGCTTTGCACCATTGTTCTATAGACACATGGCATGTGACACATGGCATATGACACATGGCATATAGAGGGTTTAGGTTCTGCTTTGTGGTGTTATCCAGTGGTAAATCACCATAAGATAAAGGGTAAAAACCATGTGCATTACATTTGGTATCAAAGAATGAGTCTCGGCGAGTACTATCCAATAAGATTGGGCAACTAGTCTCGTTGCATACATAGAGATGAAAATGATGATCCGAGTGGGTACATGTTTAGGTGCAAAGACTTTGCAATTGTTCCTTGGGTATGGATTTGGTTACTTTGTTGTACCTTATGATGTGAGCTTGCTCTTGGGCTCATAGGATGGATTTGAGGTGTACCATTTGCACGAGTTTTCACTTGGGCTTGTGAGTGAGGCATATTAGCAACTCAAGATTACACTTTGAGTTGGCAGGATTAATGTTAGCCTATTGGTGGTTCTATGAGTTGTTCCTTGTACCATAGGTGAAAGTAAACCTTCCCTAGGTTTTCTATGAGTGGCAATAGGCTGGTCCGTAGCTATTTAGCATGACACTAGTGGATCCTTCCTAACCGTGATTATAAGTGAATTAATCAAGACTGTAGGGATTAGTCTATTGGTTCAAGTAGTCATTTCTGTGCTCTCTCATAAACTTTTTTTGGATTGGACTAAAGGCAGTGCAAATGCAAGTTTGAGGTTTAGTCAAAGATGAGACCGAAAAAAGAGTTATCAGGACGAAGGATTAAACACATAAATCATTTTCTCTTCTTGGAGAGATGATTTGCAATGAGGTGTTAACTCATTGCTCATGTACACATTATGCAAACCTTGATGCATGTTGGCTATAGTGGTCTTACAAATGGTGAGTTTTGAGATGGATGCAGTGAAACGTTAAACCATTTTATCTAGGCTTACTATTGGAAAACTTGGGTTACAATGCTCAATTCTTTTCCAGGGAACCTTGCTATTGCTCCTTGAGTAGCTTGGTGTTGGATTAGTTTTGAGTTTGGTCAGAAAGAGAGTGGTATGAACTTGTTTGTGTTGTGAACAAAAGTTAGTAGTGTTGGGTGTTGTAAATCTTTATCGGTGGAGTGTGCCATTTATGTTGCATTTTGTTGAATCGAGTTGACACTTGATACTCACATAAATCTTTGAAGTAATGACATTGGCATTGTTCGTGGTGTTGCTTGATTGATGATCAAGACATTGTGATTTTTATATCATATCTATGTGATAATGAATAATGTGTTTACGAAGTTGCTTGGTTAAACGATAATCAGCCCCAAAGTGGTTGATAGTGAAGCTAATCTACTTGCACATAGTAGCATCGTAGTAGCTTTGACTGGATTCTCGATGGTGGTCCATTGTGCTAAGCTTAAGTTGGTTCCTTATTCCTTGAAGGGTTTGCATATGTCGCGAATATGACTTCGGGTATCGAAAATTACCTGTCAGCTAGTCCTTACGGACACTCTTTCCTTACCATCACAATGGCAAGAAGTCGGTATTGTTGGGCCCGTTATCAGTCTCCGCCTAAGCTAGTTAAGAAATTGGTCTTTGCGTGTGCACTTGACCAGATGAGCATAAGGAAGGAATTCGTAAGTGTTTATTTAGTCAAGCATACTTGACCTGGTTAGAGAAACTCATTTGTTGACTTGCACTTGTTAATGTTAGGAACCCCCGCGATATTGAGTTTGGTCCCTTAATATTCGTTAGATGATAGCTTACCATGTCTACCAAACACCCTCGCTATCATGCCCTTTATGTTAGTCTCATTTTGATCCCAAATGTTATTTATGGAAAGTGTCCAGATTTGCTCATTTGGCATATTTACGGAATGTAGAGATTGGCCTGAACACAATGGTGTTCGTCTCGTGTCCAAATTCGCAATCTAACACCATTCCATATTTAGTAAGTTTCAAACTTGTCCCAAAGACTAACTCCTGATACTAAGGGAGGCTTGGGGTGAAAGCCCAAAGCGTGTGTTCCTCAAGGGGGGGGGGGGGGCTGTGGGGGGTTCCAAATGTATTGTAGGGATAGTGGGTAGGTCAAGCATGGCCGACCAACCTAAGGCATAGTCTAGCTCC